TTTTTCAGTGTTCTATTAACTTTACATCTTTTGCATGTATTATACCTGTGGTAGACTTGGACACCAAGTAGAAATAAGGGGGAGGCAGTAGAATTTGGCTCAGATCAAAAGGACAAACTTTGCAAAAGGTCAGATAGTAGGTTGTTATTTTTCTGTGGGGAAAGACTTTGCTTCAGTAAAGTACACAGCAAAAATCTGAACTTCTAGGGACTGAAGTTTAGAGCATGTTTGCCTTCTCTCTTTTTATAATTGTAGGAAATGGGGAGGTAGCTGCTCATGTGAAGGCAGGAAGGAAACTACTGGCAAGGTTTCTACAATAACAGTGGACTGCTGGACCCAGTTTTTTCTGCTAAGGGACAGCAGGTTCTTACATTAAGAAAACCATAATACTTTTTTATCCACCCTGAATGCTACTTACTGTAACACCCCAGAGCTCCCATTGGCTTGCTGTAAATGTCGCCAAAGGGTGTAGTCTCTTGACAAAGATTACAGCTTGTATGAAGAGATAGTAAAAAGCTTGAATTTAGCTTCTGAGTCAAGGCCACAAACTTCTATCAAAAGTGAGCTGAGTACTTTCTTTCACTCTATTTTAATGGAAATAGAGTTGTATCAAGGCTACCATAACCTACTTGAAAAGACAACATCAAAGTAGGTGCTATGGCAACAGTGCGGCTTTATTCTCTTTCTGTTAGGAGTGGGAGACATAGGCAATGCGTGCTGCTGATTGCTACATTGGCAGATGAGGAAATTAATCAAATTTACCTCAAACTATCCTGGACAACTACAGCTGTGGAGTTTCTGCAGTTGTAGGGGTAGACTGGGCTGCAGTGACACTCAGAGTCAATCTCATGGAGTGTCAGTATGCTCTTTGAAGGAACCCAAATGGTATTTGTGCTCAATTCATGTCTGGAAACAAATTTGTAGGAGCAAGTCTTGCTATTTGCAAGGCTTTTTCCACACACTGGATAATTTAATCCAGTCTAGATAACAGAACACTTAAAATTACTCAGAGTTATGAAGTAATGTATTTAAAATACAGTACTCTAGTTTTCCTTCTATATTTAAGGTAACTTGTATACCAGAATGGCTGCATTGGAGAGCTGTGTATCTGAAGCTGAATGGACAGTATTGACTAGTACTCAAACTACTTGCATTCTGCCTTTGAAAGTCTCCTCACTTGTATACGTAAATATACTCCTGAGCTTGGAGTTGGACTTGAGTTTGAATATGTTATAAGAACATAAATGTAGCTGAAGAAACATGCTTACTGTGAACAGGTTTTACCCTGAAAGCTACTAGCAGGCAACCACTGCTTCCCGTTACCAGTTTGTTGAACACTAGCCAAATGACTGTGGAAACTCCTTTGGCATCTGAGTTCAGGAATGCAGGAGTCAAACAGCAGATGACAAACCTAGACTCCTAACTATTTAATTTAACTTGGCACCAGCTCTGACAATGTTTATTCCAGTGTACTGGCTTGGCCATTAACTCACCCAGCAGAATACAGACTGTTAGTTAGACAGTAGTCAGAGAAAGCTTAATGGGCATTTACATATTGTCTGATACAGAAATAGTACTAGACAGAATCTGTCTTGTTGTAGCATCTTTCTATACTTAGGATTTTGGGCTATGTGGGACTTTAGCAGAGCTAGTTTATTGGTCCTTCTGGAATAATGCTTTATCTACAGGTCTGACTAGTGACTTTTGGTTGCCTAATGTCTTAGGTAATGCATAATCCTTTCAGGTTGAGGGCTTGCATTCAAACTGTTAAGAGGCATGATTTTGGACTAGGAAGTTGTTGAAAATGTTTTTTATAAAATTAGACTAATCATTACACTGTAGAAGAAACAATTGCTTTCGTAATTAAGCTGAATGTATCAGAGGAATGAGCTATGCTCCAGGGACTGTGCCAAACTAGGTCATGAGTTTCATGACAGTAGGTTTTGCACATTAGTTGGCACTATAATGCTGAATGAGCATGGGGAGAAATGTTTGTAAAAATGAAACTAGCCTGACTTAAGTTTTGTGCCTTACTCTTACCTCTGTTCTAGCAGGCAAACAAAGCACTAAGTGTTCCGAATAGCTAGTGGCACCTCAGTGATTAAACAAGGATAACTCTCAACATAAACTGAAGCTGAAAATAACTCTTGATATCCTGTATGGTTTTGAAGTGATGCTTCAATAGAAATTGAAAGTATCTGTTGACACCTTAGGGTTGTCTACTTCTACCGAATTCTTGCCTAATGATAGCTCATGCTTCAGCAGCTGTCTGGCTTGCTTAATGAAAACCATCTGTCCATGGTAGATGGAGGCAGTAGGACATACAGAAACCCTTCCTACTGAAGGAAAAAGTGGTCTGCTCAAACAGGGTAATGATCCTTAATGAGAAAGGTCCCTATTTTTAGCTCAGGATATATTAACATCTGAAGTTACTGTATATGCCTAAGATATAAATAGGTTAAGCAGTGTAAACCAGGACTCTCAAATTGTTTGTTGTTTTTTTTTTTTTAAATAGATCCTTTCTAACAGCAGGATATCTGATGAATGTTGCTGTATAAGTACTGATTTCTAGAGAAAGGAGAATTGCTGCGGTTTCTGGGGTTCAAGGAATATGAGGTTTAGAAGTTGAGATCAACAGCTCTAATTCATATCCAGGCCAAAGGACAGGAGACACGTGCTTTCCTTTAGCATGTAGTTGTCAAGTTGTGACTTGTAAGCCACTTAATTTAATGGGAGCCTTCTAGCATACTTTTCAGTTTGAACATTTCCAGTGCTTATGATCAAAATTGGAGATTTTTCAACTTGAAGGGGAAGCAAGTACTCTGTCCTTTTCTCCAACTTGCTAGCTGGGCTAGCATGTCAAAAGTTCAAAAGGGAATGTAGAAGGTAAAATGAGCTCAATTGGCACTTCTACCCCCACATTGTACCTGTAAGCCTGATATGTTGTTTAGAGATTAACTTTATAGACTTCATGCCCAGAAGCATGAAAAGAGTTCCTGAAGACCTGGGAACTCGTTGTTTTTTAGCTGCTTTTATTCAGTTCTAATCCCTCTTGTAAGTAACTTGAGAGGAGAATGGAATATTTTCTGCAGGTGAGAGCCTACATGTTAAATATTGTAAAGGACTTTCTACCCGAGACACTGACAAAGAGTTGATGTTGTAATGTGGAAGGCTGAACTTGGTTAAAAAGCCAAGAGCTGAAATCAGAGAAAAATAATCCAGTACTTAACTTCTGGGAATCTCCTTCATGCGCTCTGGGGGACCTAGCTTTATTCACTCTTGAGCAGAGTATTCTTATCCTCAAGACAAGAGTGTTTATTTATAAAGCCTGACTTCTGACATAAGTCTTAAGTGCGATTTCATTATTAGTCACTAGTACAATCAACGTTTTACCTGGGAAGGAGAACTTGAATACTTTTTAAACATTTAGCAATAAGAGATTTCATAGCAAAACACTGTTCTGTACTTTATCATTTGTAAATTATGGATTAAATAGTATAATGTGAAAGTACACAATTGATTTCTCAAGTACTTTTGAACTGTGACAGCCAAAAACTCCTTATTGGCTGGCAGTAATACAATGGCCCATAGTCATAGGCCTGCCTAGTGCAGGAAACTTTCTCTGCAATTAAACCTGTTTTGAGCAGCCAAAAGTATAACTCAGTGATAGCTTATGCGTATTATCCTACAAATGCTATCGTACTGGGATATCCACTTAAACTGCAACCCAGAAGCTGAGATGGCTTACAACTTAAAAAATAAAACAACAAAAAAGGCACTGGCTGAGAATGACTGCTGTACTTCTGCCAACAGGAAAACTGAGGATAGCTGTAGTCCCATGTGAACATCGGCTTCCTAGGGTACTCCTCAAGAACCTTCTTTAAAGGTGTATTAACACAGTGAATATGCAGTCTGATGACAGTAAGCTTTATTCTGTTACTGCTGGTTATGTATGGCAATTACAGACTCCTGGTCTAAGAAGGTCATAACTCTTACAAACATCTTTGTAACCATTTAGCCAGCTTGCCATCTCAATGACATTTAAGCTTCAGACTGTGATCTTGGAGCTTTCAATTCTGGGGATGTCATTAGAAGAGTGCTCTCTCAATGTCTACTCTTAAAATAACATGCAAGTTGAATTACAACAGTGGGATAACACTGGCCCCCGAGAATGAATAGAAGTAATAAGGCGCTCACACAAGTTAGTGTAAGGACACCTATCCGGGTGCTTGTGTATTTAACATGGTCTTGTGCAGCATTATAGCCTGGCTCCCATTTGATGTCTCTTTAAAGGCTGTTGGAGTTGAGTGCTGACTCTTAGCTTTGTTCAGGAAAGTTCTGCCTAATCAAGCTCTGCTTGGTTTAACTTTGTAGCAAAAGCCTGTCTCATCAGCCCTGAATGTTGTGTTAATCTCAGTCTTGTTGGCTTCTTTGGAGCTACTCAAACTTGGCAGTTTGTGCTATCAAATCTTCAGCTTCATCTGAACGGATTCACTGTAGGACTTGCTAGTTTTGCTTTGAAAGATGTTGGAGGCCATGTTGTATCAGGTAGCAGAAAAGTACAGGAAGCTTGGTTAATGTCCTGTGCTGGTACCTGAAACATTCCCTTGAATGCAGTAAGAAGAGACTGTGTAGATTAAGAGGACTTTCTTCCCCTCCAAAATATGTATTTTGTACATATATTGGCATTGGAAATCCAGCTTCTGAGACAGTAAGAATAGCAGATGCTTGTGCTACCTTAGAAGCATCTCCTGAAGTGGTCAGCAAATCTGCTATTCTGCTAGGTGATATGGTGGCAAAATACTAGTGATAAGGATGCCATCTAAATGAAGCCCACAGTTAAGCAGTTTGAGGCACAGCTTACTCATGTAGCTCAGAGCTGTATTTCTGTATCTTGGGTGTTTCTCAATACTGTTGTTGCTTAAGTGCAACTAATCTGTAACTTAACAACTTGTTTCTTGCTTCTGCTTATCGAAACTTCTCATTTGTCTAATCACTAGCTTGTGTTCTTGTTTTCAGACTAATCTACCTATCTTCAAATTGAAAGAATCTACAGTCAGAAGAAGATACAGTGACTTTGAATGGTTAAGGAATGAACTAGAACGAGAAAGCAAGGTGGGTAAAATGAAAGGTGAATACAAGTCTTCATAGACATACAAAGAGTAGTGGTGCTGAAATGTTATCATTATGTTGTAAAGCATATATATCATATAGAGCAGATGTTGTGGTTGAAAATGTCCAGAACTAAACCACTGCATCAGTCTTTAGCAAACCTCAGTTACACAATGCTAGAGGCTGAATTAACTCAAAATTGTTAAACAAAGTTAAACTACTTGATTTCAACTTACCTCTGTGGGCAGATACTGTTCTTTTCTGATCATGTTTCATTACTTCACTAGGAATGTAATTGATAGGTTGGGATCCTCTAGGAGGAAGAGGTGGCACAGGAGGCGTATGAACTTTTTACAGGCTGCACTTAAGGACACTTTCCTAAATCTTTCAGGTTGTGGTACCACCTCTACCAGGAAAAGCTTTACTCCGTCAGCTCCCCTTCCGAGGAGATGATGGCATATTTGATGATTCCTTCATAGAGGAAAGGAAGCAGGCTCTTGAACAATTCATAAACAAGTAAGTGTTGGGTCTAGTTATCTGGAGATAAACTCAAAACTCTGCTCTGGAAAATTGAATTCAAGCTGCTAATCCTCTAATTATGGTAGTTGCACTAGGTTTAGAATAATAGCTTTCACATAATCTTGCAGTAGGACATATTAACATTGTTCATGCAGTGTTTAGTTTGGATATCTTAACGCTTACCTGAACAGCTGAAACTAATGTTAGTGTTGTTAATTTATGCAAATTGCTAAAATTATAGCATTCAAAATAGTTGTACCTTTTCAGAAATGAAAAGGTATCCTCCATTGGGTGAACAATGGAGCTTACAATGGGCTTACAGTGGTTTACTTTGATTGCAGATGTGAGGTATTATCAATTTGTGTAATGATGCATATTTTCTCTAATCATCATGAGAATCTTTCTCAAGATGTAAAAACACTACCTGAGGTATGCACATGTATAGGTTGAAATAGACACTTTGGGTTTTGTCATTGTCTTTCAAAAGGTGAGCAGAAATTGTAATAACAAAGTCTTACAATTCTTTTTCTACCATTTGACACTACTAACTGCTCTCTGGATATTGGCCTGAAGAGCTACTTTAATGACTTTAACAATGTGGATCCTAACAGTGGGTAAGAAGGAATACTGTCAGTTAACCAGCTCCTCTGGTCTCTAGAGCAACACTGTTCAGACCAACTGAATTTGGGACTGCTCCCTTTAAAAATTCAAGCTTGTCAGTTCCACTAGCATTTTAATCTTGTTCAGTAGTAATGCTGTTAAACAGGGACAGAGGATGTCTGTGAGTTAAACCAGAACTTCATCTGCTCATTAGTTATTGTTAGTCAGTTCAGCCATGTGGCTTGGAGTTGCAAGTGAGTAGTTCACTAAAACTGTTTTTCTTGTGCAAGTAAGCGAAGTGTGACTGTATGAAATCTCTTAAATTTTCCTTCACGTAGTTGCTTGTTAGCTCAGTTTAGAGGTATTGCTAATGGTTCTGAGCAGGTAAAATGCTTCAGACTGCTCTTTCCTCTGTTCAAAGAAAAGTAGAATGAATTTCCAAGCCATCTAGTTATGTATTTACACTACGTGAATGTAGATGTACTTATAGTAAGATGGAATGTGTTTATTTTTTTAAGGCTGTACAATGAAGGCAGTTATGACCATGAAGTACAACTTTTATACATACATGTAGGCTTGGGACTCTACATTAAATGCAGGAGAAGTGCACTTACTGAAAGTTTTTGAATGTTGAGTCTAGCAATATGTGGGGGAAGAGATCTTAAGTTCTGAAGCAGCTGATAGTGAAACAGTTATCTTAACTGGAATCTCTGAAAAACTCAGTGTGGCTGACAGAAATGGAGTGGTCACTTTACTGATATCACTTGTTCAGTCCTACAGCAAGTAATACTTTGATCTTGTTGAAGTGTAAAACTTCTTGGTCAATTTTTCCTCTTTTGAAACATAAAAGCAGGCCATTAATGTACATATTGACGTAGTGGCAGACTTGAGTACAGCTGGAACAAGATTCTTCAGGCAGAGCTCCTAGCTATTCAACCTCATCAATTTATTCTAATAGCATGACCAACTTATCAAGCAAATATTACTAATTAAAGTTTTGAACCATGTAGAAGCCTTAAGACTTTTACCAATTACTCTGGATACTAGTGAAATTAGTCCTGAAGTTAATTTGCATAAGTCATATAACTGCATTCTCAAAGCCGGTCTTCGCTCCTAGGACTAGAGAAGAGTCCCTCAGGTAACTGATATCACTGTATTAAAAAAAGATTTATGTACCAATGCCAGTTCTTGATATCCAGGATGTTGAGAAGCCTTGTCCCTCTAGATTTTACATCTAAATCACAGCAGTGCAGCTTGCTTGGGTCAGCTCTCTTGAGCCAGCTTGCTGGCACCACCGTGACACTCGCAAGGGTAGCTATGTTGCAGCACCCTTGTCTGCCTGAACCTGACTTTAGGATACATGAAAACTTTTGAAGTAGTAGCTGCTCTGTGCAAGGCTCACCTTAGAGAAGAATACTGAGAAAAGCCAACGCAGAGTGAGGTATTCATGTGAAACAGAGCTGAATCTGAGAGATCAGATCTATTCTTGCAATTCAGCCACCAATTTGCAAGCCTTCCTGAATGGGAGAAGGAATATGCTGCTGCCTTGTCATCACCTCCTGTATATCTTTCTCTTCAAGGCCAGCAGCTTCAGTCTGATGGAGGTAAAACTCAAACTAGTTATTCCAGGCTGTCTTCCTTGTGAACTAGTGCTTGAGACTGCTGCCCACTTACTAGAACCTGGGAAGTTTGGTAGGTTTTATGGCTGGTCATGAAATAATCTATCAATGCTAAGTAGGAGAGCTCAGCTTCCTCACTGAACACCCTCAATGACAAGTGAGTAGTGACAAGTGAATCTATCCTGTGGTGAAACAAGCACAATAGATACATTTGGAGAAGATGCACAAAAGTGCTTGGAAGTAATGATGCTGAGCCACTGGAGTTTGCATGTGTTACATGAGTTACATGTGTTAAACTAGATAACTTCCATTTAGAGTAAAAATGTTCTGATATGGAGGCCAAAGACTGACACAAGCTGTCCTAGAGAGGATGAGGGGCTTTCTTTCTTAAAGGGAGAAGCCTGCCTTGATTGCCCAAACTGGATGTAACTTTTTTCAAACCAAGCTGCTTTAGGTTCTTATCTGTATGTGATCAATTTCCAGGGATTCTGTTTTCAAGGGAATCAGAAATTAACCTGCATAGAAGGCTGCATGCTAATTTAATGGTTTAAATGCAATACCTTGTGACTTTCTTCCAAGCTTGGGAGTGTCTTCTAATTCAATTTCAGGTCCTTTACTATTAAAATGATGGTGGCTCAGTCTATGTGTAGAAGAAAACTAAATCTGCAGTAGAGGCAGTGGTCTCTTCTAGAGCAGACAAACTGTCTCCTATGTTTCATATCTAAAGACGTCTGCAAATAAACACTCTGGCTGTGCATCAGTGCTGCCAGTACTACATCCTAGGAATAGTGACCATGGTAAGTCGCTGCTCCAAACAGTGTCAGAGCCTTCAGAAGACCTTCACACCCCCTGGTGGAATAAGTCCTTAACTCTGCCTGGGCTATCTGCTATGGAATTTGGCTGAGACCTGAGGGATTCAGCTGCTTTTAGAAAGGTGTCCTGTGTCAAAGGCATCCAGACCTGTAAAAATCCACTTGGCTTGCTCATCTCTAGATTTCCTAATGCTAGGATGGGCACTTTGATAGTCCCCTCAATTGCAGGTGACAGATGAGGACATAACATGCTTCCAAATGATGAGAAGTAGCTCAGGGTTTCTATGGACTGACATCATCTGAGAAAGAATGACAAGTCTTGCTGCTAGGCATCATCTAGTCACCAACAGTGAACTGGAAGTGAGATCTATGCTGAAGCACAGAACCATAGGCTGTTGGTATAAAACCTTGCTCTGCTGGCTAGCTGTGAGTAGACTTGATTTGTCAGCACTAATGCTTGGGTTTTTTTTTCCTTTCCAGGGTTGCAGGCCACCCACTGGCACAGAATGAGCGCTGTCTTCACATGTTCTTACAAGATGAAGTAATAGACAAAAACTACACACCATCCAAAATAAGACATACTTGAGTTCTGAAACCATTTTCTCAAACATTAGTGGTTCTTATGCTTGGTTTTAAGAGGTTGTAGTTTGTCTTAGCATGCTGAGGATAAACAGGCACGAAGTCTCCACTAACATGAGTACACTGCTTGGTCTTTGCATATGCTTTATAGCATTAAAGAACTCACTTGTCTTCTAGCTAAATCCCTCTGAATCCTTGATTTAAGAGTATTATACTATGAGACCATCCACCCCTTGCAATGTCTCACAAAACTTCCCACTCTTATTTGCAATGACTTAACAATGTTTACTGACTTGGCCTTACTTGAACTTGCACAGTTGTAGTGTCACGTGTTCACTTGTATTTGACTAAACTGCTATGCTGTTTCTGAGGTAGTCATCTGTCTGAACTTCTGTAGAAAGACTGCTTTATTTCTGATACCCTGTGTGAGAAACACTTATGCAATTGTCTTCAAGCTTGTAAAACACTTTATACTGAAGTAATGAGGGAATTATCTTTATATTCTGTAAGAGGGAAAAAATAAAATTTATATACTAAAGTAACTTGTCTAAAGTTTTGAAATAAAAGTGAAAATGCACTTCAACTGTTTTGTCACTCTTTACCTTGGGCATGGGGTATCCCGTGCTTTGAGAAGCAGGGACTTGACTGTACTATGTTATCTGGTGTTTCAGCCTTGCTGTGATGCTCTTCTGCAATCTAGTCTTGTGTTACTAACAGCCAGCACTAAATACCCTTAGCTGCTGGCACTCACCGCTCAAGCGTTAAAGAACATATAAAGGTGCTGAAGGCTGTTCCTGGGTTGTGGAGCCAAAGCTGGAACTCCATTCGTGGTAGGCAGTCAACAGATCTGTGGCTTCAATATGTTTTGGAAAAGAGTGCCTTTCTACTTTGGTATGAGAAGTATCAATCTAGCTTCAACTACACCATCCTAGAGAGAAAGGAATGTGGCATCGCTTATATTATAACTTCAGTCCTACAAATACGCTTAGGGACCTAGTCATACCAGTCTGCTATGAGATGTGATCATAGACCACTTCCCTAAACATTAAAGGAAGGGGAAGCTGTAGCATTGTGCTTGTATGATCGCTGGTGAAATGGAGGTGGTTGATGCCTGAGCTGCAGTTCACAAGCAATGCTGCTGAAGTTGTCTTTCTCATAGATGCTTCTATGGATGGAGAAGTTTCCTTAGTGCTTCCAAATGCAACAGGGGAGTTACCTATCCAGATGCTTGTGAAAACAGATTTGAGAATATTCTAGTAGCAATCTGATCCAGTGTTTTGTGCTATTTAGTAACAATATATGTTGGCTTAGACTTGGCTCTGCTGCTTTTTTTTTTCTTATCACCATCCAGAACATCCTACAAACTTATCAGTGAAGTTATTAGTTTCCTTTAACTAAGACCATAACCTCATTTATGGAAATTGGTATGTAAAAGATTGACAAAACAGTGGTGGCTGACTGGATTATATGTAGTACTAGTGACTAGCTACACTGAATAATTAAATGCTCTTTCTCCCTCATACTTAAAGACTGTGCTGAATCTTTCCGAAAGTCCTTTTCATGAAATCAGGGACCAAAACTGACAGCGCCCACTTGCAGCCCAGAGCTGTCTAGCTTTTCAACACAGTCTAGCTTTTCAAAAGTTTTTGATAAAACCAATTCTAAAATTCCCTGTGCTTGTTGAATCATGCTTAAAAGTTGAATTACTCTTGGAAATGGGGAAAGAAGGGCTAAATGTATATGGAGCTTTATTATTTAGGTTTAGATATGTAGTAAGGTATTCTTTTCTGAGAAGTCTATTTCAGAAATCAAAGTAAATGCCTCATCCCTAAAAGATGATGACGACACAATCTGTATCATCTGCTGTGGAAAAAAAGAATTAAGCTGAAGAGGGAAAAGCAGCACGCTTGATGTCAAAGTATTCCTATTTCCAAAGTGAGGATTTTGGAGTGTTAACCTTTGAGGTTGACTGGACATCTGCACTGCACTCTGAGATTTCACCTGGCTTTCAGTCCTTCAAGGCTAATTAGAGCACTATTCTATTGTAGCATAACTGGTTCTGCTTCTGTGCAACCTGCACTACTGGGAGGAAGACATGGTCAGAGATGAGCTGTGCCTAAACCACAGGTATCTGGGCATTGTTCCCAGCTCATATATCTGCTCTGCAGCTGGGCTAGATCCTGCAGGTAAGAGGATGAGATATGGGGGTGCACCCATTGCCCTGCCTGCTTTGCAACTGGGAGAAAGCCAGTACGCTCTGTTGCATCCTCTAGCGTGGGACTACAGCACACTGCAGAGTGCAGTTGCCTTGCAGTATGGATGCAGTTCAAGTTTATGAATCTTACAGAAATAAGTGTTTTGTCAGGGGTTCTGCACAGCACTGCGTTCAACTTCTTTAGCTCATAAACTGAATTGTCACAGAGTGGAGAGCCACAATTGATTTTTGGCCCTGTCCAGTTCTTTTTAGCATAGAGAGCAGTAAATGGTTGAAGGTTATTACAGATGCAGTAAGAACATTTCATGAAGTGTTTTTTAGTTTCTTTCTAAGAACGTGCTGTGCCCTGTGGTAAATGCATTCTCAAGTGCTCCATGCTAGTTTGTACAGATGATGTTTCAAAGTCCTGTAGTCCATGCTTTGTCTCACCCGACTCATCAAAAGACTGGTCTCGTATACTTGATAGCCTGGCTGTCTTGGAAAGGGCAGAATGTGAGACCTAGCAAACTGCACAAATGGAAGAGAGATGGGGTGAAAACTTTGACCTCTGAAACGCCTAAGAGTTGTGCTTGGAGTCGAGCTAGGATTGCACTTGTGATCTGTATTCTTGACACTGAAACTAATGAGCCATTGATATCTACTGTGCATTTCCACCTGTCATTTTAGTGCGCATGGCTCTTTGGTCACTCGTTGCCATATGAACACTATGTTATATTTCCCTTCTCCTATTGCCAACTTGTTCCTGTGCACTGGGAGTTGCTTATCTCTTTCTTTGGTGTGATTGCACAATTGGGCACCTTAATAAAACCTCAGAATCTTTTTAATTGAAGCAGTGTTTTTGTACTCATCACCCTTTGTTAGCTGCACAATTCAGCAATATTAACAATTGTAAGAACATGAAACGGAAGACTTGTAGATTAGACCGCTGATGCATGTAGTATTGTGTCCTAGAAAAAGCTCCGTGTCGGCTCCTGGAGAAGGAAATCTTGCAGCAGGTGTATATTCGAAAACGGCTCTATGCCAGACCTCAAAATTCCTTTGCCCCAACCTAAGCTATTCCTTTAATGTTTGTCTAACCTCTTTTTTAAAACCTCTGATGATGGAGACTCCACAGCATCTAAGGCAATCCATTTTAGGAGAGAATATTTCTGCTCCCTGGTAAGTAGGGTACAGTGGAAGAAACTAATCCATAAATAGAAGGACAAGCATTAAAAGAATGGTGGAAAGTAATTTAAATTCAATATATTTTTATTCTTTGTAAATACAATGAGTACAACTTTTTAACTTCACAAATCAGTTAATCCACTTTGTACATGAAAAGTTTTACTCATTCTATGATAGTCCAAGTGCTGATTTTTCTCAGTGCTAGTTCCTAATAACAAATCAAATTTTGAAAAGTACAGCAGCTATCTTTAAATGTTTTTTTCTACATTTTTCACACATCAAATAAGCAGCTTATAACGTTTTTGTGTGTGAGAGGGTGTAGGCGAACAAGGCTTCAAAATTAGAACCTGGAGTTTTCTAAAAAGGCATTGGAGACTTTTGGAAATTGTTAGCATTGTATCAGTTAACAACCTTTATTTCTTTGAAATAAAATTCTGTCCGTTGATTGTTTTTTTTTTAATAGTCGTTTCACTTCTCTGCGCATCTCATTGACAAAGAGTTTGGCCACCATTGCCTTTGGTTTCAGCACTGTGCCAACGGGATAGCCAGCAGGTCACTGAAGCGGTCATCTCCATTGTATTTGGTTTTGCTGTTTTAGTTTTCCTTTCTTGACTTGTATCTTTTCAGGTGTGTGTGGGTGTGGGTGTGGATGTGGATGTGTGTCTCTGTGTGTGGAAGAAGAAGGAGGGAAGGTCGGGGAGGAAGTGTATAAAGCTCTTCTGTCTTTGAGATGTTAACCAAACAAATCGTGGTGACATCTGCACCAAAGATCACCAGTTCATTTTGCAGAAAGAATGGAGCTGCCGTCATAAGCTACTTTTTAATCAGTTCTGAAGGCCACTTCATGATGTATTATAGCAGAAGCAATGTTTTGGTAACCTGGTCTTAAATGTTGCCTATCATATTAAAAACATTTTCCAAACATAGGCTACTTTTAAAACAGTTCTGAAGGCCACCGCATCTCACGTTACAACAGAAGCCAAGTTTGGTCACCCGGTTCCAAATACTGAACAAACTAAAGTACCTTCTTTCACATTTTGTCTCAGATCTGCCAGTTAAATGAGAGAATAGCAGAGTCTTTGTTAACTGTGACTGGCATCTGAATTGCCTCCATCCTGTAGTAACAGGAATAGCAGCCAAATTCCAACCACTTTCACTTTTTCTGTAGAACAAAGCATTCTCTCCATGATCTAAATCACTCTGTTCAGAGCAGCAGAGTCATATCTACTGGGGTATTTTTTGTCAATGGGTTTAAAGGCTAAACATTCCCAGGCTTATGCTTCCTGTAGATTTTGTTAGTTGAGGCTTATTCTCCATAGATAAAAGTTCTTCTCAAACTGTCCATCCTGATTGTTTATTTTAAGGTAATTTATATGTCGCTGGATTTGTACATATCTGAAAGCAGTCTTGTAATTGGTACATTCCCAATGGTCTTTTTGAAAAACACTTCTTCTATCGTAGATGGACTAATCGAACGTAAAGCTGGTAAAAGCAATAAAAGTTTTCCAAAGCGACAGGGTTGTGTGGGATACCTGGGAGACAGAGAGAGAAAAACCTGTTCAAGTTTTTACATATTTTTCTGAAGAAAATTTTTTTACTTTACAAAAAGGACCAATATTCAGTGAATTGTACGGATGGGTGCTACCTGTGCTAAACCCCTGTGGTTTGTACTCACATGAGCAAGAAGTTTGACCCCAAGGAAACCTCTCTTAATGGAGGTTAGCAGAATATAGACCAAAGTCTCTGAGTTTTGATTAGCTCCTTTGTTAATTCCCTCAGAGAAATAGCAGTACAGAGACAGAATCTGCTCTGACTTGTCCCTCAGACAACAACTGTGTTCTTGATGCAGTTCAGGGAAAAGCTTGACCTATAATAAATACCCTGTCATTTAAAGTGCAATTTAAACCTAGATGGATTGTCATGGTAATAATTTTTCTCCCTTTTGGTTGTCTTATACATTGAATACCAATTGATATTTAGAAAGATTTCTTTTTTTTTTTAAAGAAGCTGTGTTTCATCCCCAGGAACTGTATTTGTGTAATAGGATATTTTCCATCCTTTCTCCCAGCTTTTGAAGCCAACACAACGTAGGATATGTGTTCTAGCTGTGCTTACGCTGACTTTACACCAGTGATTCTCAAGCCTCGGCTTACAGCAGTCTCCCTAAAAGGAGTAGTAAGTGATTTGGAGAAACATTCTGCTTCTCCAGTCTGCCATCCCTTGCATCCTGTTGAGAGCGGCTCCACTGAGATCAAAGGGCTGATAATGCTGTAACACTGGCAGGAAGGTAAATTCAAGCCTGAGGATGAAACTCAAGCTGAGAGCCCTATCCCACTGGAGTCAGTGGACTGCACTTTTTTCCCTTGTAAAAGAGTATCTTTTATAATAGACACTGTTTAGCCCAGTAGCTAAATATTTCCAGCAATGCAGAAATGCAATGAAAAAGTTGCCATGCCTGGAGTTGAAACTATGGCCATGTAAAACCATTGCTCCCTGGCTTCTCTCTCCAACAGGCCCTGGCTCACTCAGAGGCTCCAGGGAGCAACATTCATGGGAAAGGCTGTCCCTAAGGACAGGAAGAGGTCGCTATGCAGCAGTTATTCTTTTTGCTCCGAACTAGCCGTAACTGGATGGTATTTGCAATTTTGCTCTCATCCTCAGGGCAGGCCATTCCCTTTAGACTAAACAGAAGTCCTTCAGAGACTGCTGCCATCTAATCTCTGACACTGAGTTGGCTTCTGCTGGACAGAGCTATTATGAGAGCAGATCAAAGTTGCAGAAGGAAAAAATGGTATAAAAGTTCCTCTTCTACTGCTCCATCTTCCGCTGTGCTACTCTCATGGACCTCCACTGCAGCTAAAGGACTGAGAGGTGGACTTTACGAGACCTGTTGCAGCTCTCCCCAGCAGTCCTGAGCCAGCCAGAGCAGCTGTTGCAGATGTTAGGTGCACTCTTCTGGCTCCTCCCCGGTCCCACCACTCTGAAGTGGTCCACAGCAGGAGGCTACTGATGTGATCACAGCCAGCTGCCTGCAGCGCGGGGTTGTATTTCGCATAGTACATTTCATGCAGTCCTGGGCTTACCCCTGTACACTTTGCCCTGCACATTTTGTGTCATGACAGCTACAGCTTTTACAGCGGGTTTTAAGATTTCTGTATCCCATGGGGCTTAGCCTGAATGAGATAGAGGGGAATCTTTTCTTCCCCAACAATGATTCTCATCACTCTACTGCAGTACCAAAATGGGATTCACAACTTCTGGATTTTTTTATTTCCATCTGAGAACAGACTCAGGGTAGTGTCTTGCAAGAGCCATTTAACTTCTTGTGTCCCAATTTCCGTATCTGCAAAACAGGGGAAATGACATGGGGAAGTGTATTGGAGACCATGGGTCAAAAGTGCTCGTACTGCTGTAAGATGTGATGCTGTTTTGAGCATCACTATCAGCAGTATTTAACCGAATAAAATGTAGAGGAAAATGTAGCCTTCTGAAATGCAAAGTGTTCCACAGCAGGTATCACTTCCCAGGGCAAGATCTCTCCTTTTACCGCTTTTCAGTTTGTCTGAATAAATTTCACCTTCCCTGTTGCATCAGGAAACACCAAATCCCAGCAGGCTGCCAGCCACTGCATACTTGCTGTGACAGCCTGGTCCCCACTTCAGTCAGTGGAAACGTCACCTTTGCTGCAGTGAGAGCGTGATTTTACCCCTACGCCTGCAAGAAGTATTGAGAGAAGTGACTGATCACCTGGTATGGATGTAGCTGTTCAGAGTGAGCTGGGCTTCATCTTGAAGGGCTGCTATGGCAGCAGCATTTCGGAAACTCCTCAGTTCAGAACCACTGTGTGTAGGCACTGGAAAGCAGAGCAGTTACTAGTTCAGCTTGACTCTTGGGTGGGTCAAAAGACTTCAGCTAGTGCTATCAATGGAAATTAAACGTTCCCATTAGCTCCCCAGCGCTCCACTGTCAGCCTTTCAAAATGCAACATTGACTATTGGAATTCAGTACTGGGAAACCTGTTGGATGATATGAAGCTATGACTGGTTTAAAACATCATTTTTGCTTTAAAGTAGCAACCTCATAGTTATCAGACCAGATGAGCAAGAGATCCTTTCTGCTTACCAGCTTTAAAAGTGACAATGCATTTGAGACAGGCAAATTCGGTAGCATCTAGCCGAAGTTGTCTAAATCTAGCCACAACCTCCTGTAAAGCCTGTATTTCTGAAATAATTTTATTCAGCTTCTGAGAATCCGTATTGTCACCATTCATGCCTAAAACAGAAACAGATGAAATAAATAATATTAAAGGCATTTGCTTTATTTTATATTGATTTCTGACAAAATCCTCTGTATCAATATCCACTCTATTGTCACACTTGTCTGTCTGGTTCCATGTAAACTGACTATATTGTATGAAAGTTAATATAAAATCTTCTCTTGGATGATAACAAACACAGTAATTTGCATTTAAATGACAATGCAAGCAGTCATGAATACAACAAAACAACATTATTTGCATTTAAATATAGATTTATAAATGACAGGTATGCTCTATTGTTCAGTAGGAATTTGTTATTCTTTACATGTTGTTCTTTTTTCAGTAATGTATTTTTATGGTAATTTTTGTAACAAAGTCATTAAATTGTGCAATTCTTACCAGATACAGCCAGTAGAGTGTTAGCATCAACTGGAATGGCCCATTGTGCTATTCCTAGAACAAACAGTTCTCTCCAAGCATCTTCCAAAAGCATCAGCTGTCATACAATAGATGTACAATATAACATAGTGTATAATTTATAGATTTATAAACAATTTAAATATGTAAATTTCTGTTATTTTAAAAACTACTTTAAATGCCTGTCATGGTGTTTTCCCCACAGCATTTGTTAGCTCGTCTCTTAGCTTTTTGAGAAGGTGTCTAGAAATAAGTCTATACGCATTGTAGAAAAATACTGAGGGTTGGCTCACTGTGCACCGTGTTGTGGACCAAAAGGGAGGAGAAAGAGAAAGGAGAGTGAGAACTCCCGCCCCAGAGAGCTCACTCACAACAAGAACGCTCGCCTGTGTTTCTCAGCACAGCATGGGCTCTCTCCTCCTCTCCTCTGGCACATACAGCTGTCCTAGGACAAGCTGGACAGGTGCTCTCCTATGGCTCTCTAGGGATTACCCTCCCTTCCCTCGGGAAGGCAGAGTTTGTGAAGAAAAGCCTGGACAACATCCCGAAATTACATCACTCTGTGGGGAGCACTGCTTTAGAGTATGTATCTTTAACCTCTTCCTTACTAAGCAAGTCTTTAGCTCTTTCAAGCACAGCATCTGGACACACATATGGTTTCTCAGCATCACCTGTTTTCCTGCTTTGTGCTTAAAATCACTCAGAAATTCCAGGCACCAGGAGCTGTTTCCTTTCAGAGAACTGAGTATCCAAGCACCTACGCTGACAGCATTGCTAGCTCTCTGCAATTTTTGTACATTGCCTGGTTGCGTGGAGGATCTGTTTTTCTCTGTGTGGAGGCAATGCCTTGGATTTCCGTGGAGAGGCAGTGGTGCATCTGAGGAGCAGACATGACTCCTGGTAATGCAGACTGGCAAAGCCAGAACAGACGTGTTTAGTCTTGAGGACATCTATGGATTGCTGGCCCAGACCAACTCTTGAGAGGTTTGGAGGACTCCCAGTTCGGCTGAAGTTCATGGCCTAAAGGACATACTGTGGTGCATACACCTTGTTGGGCCTCATGTCTCTCAATAGGGTGGGAGAGATTTGGAAGGGTGAGAATTGTAATGGACTCAAGAGGGATCACCTGGTGGCTCCATGCAGTGAAAACAGATTTCTCAAAACTCATGCAGGAAAAAAAAGCAAACCACAGATATTAATATTGCTATGGTCCCTGAAAGTATCAGCAGCTCGGCTTCTTAGGAAAATAGGAAGGAGGGTATTTTAAGTCTATAAAGATTCTGCAAAAGGAAGAACAAAGTAAAAAAATACATCGTACCAAATGAATTATGATTTCTTTGGAATCAGATATGTGAAAGATGATACAGAAAGCAGGCAGTAAGAGCGGATCCTTCATCTAGGTGCTAACTCTTAACAGTATTATCAGTTTTAAACCACCATGTTCTGGTCAGAATGGGAGGAAGAGCTCTCAGAGTCTCTGCTCTCAGCTTGTCACTGCAGGCTAATGCCCATTTTCTGCCTTTTTGTACTATGTGCTCCACAGAACTTCTATATAACCTAAGGAAATTGTGAGAGGAAAGTGTTTCTGTCTCTGTTTGCATACGATTACTGTTTGAAATAATTACATTGGATTTTTACAGCACTGGAAGCTGGCCGGATTAGTGTATGAGATGCAGAAGGGAAGGGGTCCAGGGTGTGGTGCCCATCTCAGCTCTGTTCTCAGAGCAGCTAAACCTGCTCCTAAGTCTCCTAACTGCTGCTGCCTGTGAACCCAGCCCTCCTCCGGATAATCCTGCCTGATGGATGTGCAGGTTTCTATATGACATAGGAAATGATTCGCCAGCCTTTCATTTGCTTTTGTAAAACTTTTTTTGTCATTCATTCATGCAGATACAATGGTAATCAATGGTGGTTCCTGGAAGATATCAATTTCATATGTGCTTTCCTACTATGTCTTTAAAGTCAAAAGACTTTAGAAATAAGAGACTATTCCAATAGCTGAAGCTTTCTTCATGTCTATGCATAAGTCTGTAAAACCACCAATTAAAATAATTCATGCTGAAGTCATACTCAGCCCTCCTTCTTCAAACAAACAAGAAATACCAGGCTTTCTGAAGGACTGGGTTTTGCTTCTTAATTAACCCCATCCTGTTAGCATGACCTTTTCTTGGTGGCCTGCATTGGACCAACCTGTCTTATGGACAAGCTGGGCAGGTGTGCAGGCCAGCAGAACTTGAAGCATGGCATTTTTGTTGTGTGGCTTCCAACCCACCATGGGATCAGCTCTATGGAGCTGGGGAAAGGATACAGCCTCTGCTTTACTGAGGGTTGTGACACAGCAATCCTCAGGCTTTGGTTTTGTCAGCAAGTTGTTTTCTACTTATTTCCTTGCCTTCGAGATGAAACTGTCACAGAGTCCTGGAATCACAGTGCGCTTGCCTTTTTGGAAGAGCACAAACAAAAGTAGAATCCAGGAAAAGGGTTTAGACTCTCCTCGGGCAGATGTCAGGGATACAAAAAGAGAAACTGAGACATTTACAGCTGGGCCATTGTCAAATTAAATAATGCAATGGCACTATTATAAAAATCAACTGTCTGATCATTCATGAAATCAGGTGATTAAAATCAGAGTTATTTCTTCTCCAGCTCTCCTGAATATGACAGGGGAATCATGCAGAAAGGGGTCCAAGTCAAAGCTGAGCAGCTCTGAGTTTTGAGGAAGCTAGCTTGCACTGAGGTACAGCAAGTCAAGGTGATGTTAAGGAAAGGCTTTTACATTTTAATATATAAATCACTAACATGAGCACCTGATATGAAAGTGAAAGAGGCAGTGGGTTATTTAAAGATAATGGGAACACTCTGGTGTTTGAGGTATGCTTGGTCATGTGCAATGGACACTTCCCTTGCTCTCAAATCCTGCTGCCCCTTCCTCTGCATACTAGCAGAGATGACCTTGTGGGAAATGCATCCGTGTTATGTCAAATGAAGCCCTCCCCTAAGGAGCCTCCTGTGGACAGCACTGGTCTAGAGATGGACCCAGCCTCTTCCCATGCACAGAGGCTCCTGCTGAAGCACTGTGCTTGCTGCTTGCCCCTGATATTTGGGCCTGTTTCTTTGGTTGCTTGGTATGACAGACTCGGTGCTCCGCAGGAGCAGCGGCAGCAGAAGACAACACTGGAGAACAGCATGCTGCACTGGGACCAGTCTTCCTTGTGGGATGTGTAACCTCCAAGGCCCTATCTCCTTGCTCCTCTCATGCTCACCCTGTAGCAGTATTGCAGCCAGAGCTGAGCAGCATCCCCCTTTGCCTAATTTCAGAATAGGGGTTTCAAAATGTGGGTCTGGTGCTAGAAAAGGAACATTTCAATGTACCTTAGCTTTATATCACATTGTGACCAGCATGATTTACCTTTAGGTGGAAAACACTATTGGTTTCCTAAAAAGCTTTTCTTTCGGTTCAAAATATGTATTTGCATATCAACTGCAGCAACTTGCAACATGCACCCATGGAAAGGAACTAGTTCCTCTGCTGACTGCTAGGTAACATCTAAGGCATGACACTTCTACTTACCATTGTGGGAAATTAGCTCAATCACATCAAAATAGTGGACATCTTTTATGATCGGAACTTTGTGCAGATTTCCCTCCTTCCATTTTATAATTATATCTGATCACTTTTTTTAAAAATTAGTGCATTATACAAAGCACACTGAGTCCTCATGAAGAAATCAAGTCATTAAGAAATTCCTTCAGCTCGTGTGGTTCACATATGATTTACCTGAGGCAAAGGCAAATTGTCATAAAGGAAAACAAGACAAATTAGGGAAGATTTTAATTGATGGTGAAAAATATTGGGGGCTGGCCAAATTCTGCTTCCACCATATTGGTGTAATTGTAAGTTCACTGAAGCCAATGCGAATAAGAAAAAAATGTTGGCTGTGTGAACAGTTATGCTGAGGAGAGGAGAGGAGAGGAGAGGAGAGGAGAGGAGAGGAGAGGAGAGGAGAGGAGAGGAGAGGAGGAATGGTCTTCAGAAATCACCTCACTCATATCCTGAGGCCATATGTGTAACTAAGCTCTTCTCATCCCAAAATAGCAAAGTAAGATGCTGTTCTCCATTTTATGGAGGGAAAAGTTGACCCACAAGTAGAGAAGCAGTTTTAGCACACTGATTTTGGTCTGCAGCCTCGTGACTTTGCCTCTAGAAATTGTCCTCCCGTAATATTTGCTTTAAATTTTTTTCTGGCTTGACTTTCACTTGCTTCATGAAATAACAGTTGGAGGAAAGCAGTTTCTAAATCACTGCCTGGTTTTTAGGGTCAGGCTAAACCTCTGCCCTGAACTTCAGAACTGCTGAAGTCCATTATAGGTCTAGGGCTGAAGGTTCAGGAGCCAATCTGAGCACTGAGCCTTCTTTAACAGGCAGGCCAGGCCAATGCCACTCACACCGCAGGGGCCTTACCTGGTCTTGTAAGGACAAGGTGGAGAAGGCTGGGACACTCTTCGCCCACTTGATGCTCATGAACAGAAGTCTGGCTGCTGACTCGCAGACGGATTCGGTGGCCACTTCGTAGAGATACATAGGGGTACCATTGACTTCATGTGGGTACTAACATCAGAAAGAAAATAAAGCAGCTTCATACAATGTCACCAAGGCAGCCTTGTTTCTTCTCCCCTACAACTGCCATTCCGTGCATCGTGCTCATGCCCAATACTGAGTGTGCACTCTCTTATTCTGCAAGCAGAGGGCATTGCTTTCAGAGGGCCCACTCCAAACCACGCTCTGCTGCTCATCTCTGTGGACGAACTGTACTGCGGAAACAGCTCTCTGGAGGAGGTTGAAGGAAGCATGGAATTATTACATTAAGGGAAAAAAATTACCAAAATGTGGTGTCATCCTTCACCCTGTTACACTACTACATACTGGTTGCAGAGTTAGGTGAATACAAATTTGATTCAGAATTTGTGTTCTGTAACTTGTGCCTCAGAAGCTGATTTCGCACCGCAGCCTTGCTCAGCAAAGCAGTAAGTACTCGTTTAGCCTTAACCCTTCGTCCTGCTCCCTTACTGCGACAGGCTGTAAGCAGATGTGTAGCATGCATAGAACTACCTAAGGGGTGTATAGGATTGGAATGGAGTTACATTTTCAAGCATGTGCTATGTTTTCTTGCAAACTAATTTCTGATTCAATATTTTCCAAAATTATAAAACTGTATGTTGTGACCATGCCAAGCTACCAACTCTGGAAATGCAGAACTATTTAATTCATCTCTTCTACAATTTCCTAGGTGCTGCAAATATGCAAAATGTCATTGCAAATGCGTTAATGAAAAACATCGCCTTATGGCTAAGTCCTGTGCAGTTGAGGCCACAGCAGTGCTTCCACGGGGATGCTTAGGAAATGTCACAGCCAACAAGCGCAGAGCCACCTTAGACACGTTTCTGTCTGTGTGGACAAGCTGCGGGCTGTGGTCAGTACAGACAGCACTTTCTGGAGTACACCACTTCAGCATTTTGCTGAAGAAAACTCAGTGATTGCAGGTCAACCTCATGAAACAAAGTTTAAAATTGACTTGTGGATGTGATCCAAGCAGGAGGAGCAACTCTGTAACCGTGAGGGTGTAAGGATATAGGAGACAGGGTTTGTACGGAACAGGTTATCAGGTGGTCCTTCTGCATACCCCTGCTGCAGAGGCCCTCTTACCCTTGCACCTCGTATCTTCAGAGCTTTGAGGGACATAGCAAAAGAGTCCCCACCACAACCCCCAAGGCCTCAAGCCTTGCTCGTTGCCACGTCTACCCCAGAAGCAGGAAGAAGCTGGCGGGTTGCAGGCACCCCAGCAGCGGGGTCTGCAGGCCCGCTTGGGGGCCAGGGCAGTGGCTGACCTTTGGGGTGGGCTGTGCCAGGCCCACCAGAGCCTGTCTCTCGGGGGTG